TTATTACTGTTTATGTGGGAATTGAACAGAATTTTATTTTGACGAATATATATATAGGGAGGAAATAAGTAGCATATATGTATACGTAGTGCACATCTTGTGAAGTTGGATTCATCTCTAAATATCGGATGACTATAATAAAAAAGTCATTATATAATGATATTACATTTCAAAATAAGATAAGCATTTATGAAAACTTGCTCGTAATGATGTGTGAAATATTATTATTATATAGAGAGAATCTAAATTGGTTAGGGATTATCAAACCAAGCAAATCAAATGTAGTTGATTTTAATTTCAATGATTTTCATTATGGATAGACATCAGATGTGATATCATAGGAAGCTGGACAAAAAAATAACTGGGTAGCTCTACTTTGCCTCAGTTTTTAAATGCAAAATAATGTGTATTAAAAATGCTACCAAGGATTCGAACTGAGGATTATGAGTGAGCATTTAGTTAAACCATAAATTGATTGAATTTAGAAGTATACATCATTTGAATTTTAACTACATGGTCTCAAGCATTTACAGAGAAGTTTAGAAGTCTTTTATGCTCACTGGTTAAAAATCCTATGCAAGAACAAAACAGTAGTCAAATGCTTCACGGTTTTGAATGGTATCTCGACTGAGATCACTACTACGTTATAAATGTCACTTTCAAATGAAACTAAAGTAGTTCATTTTATTGATAATTTATAGTTGATACACTGATGTTGAATACACGTTGCTTGTGGATTAGACCTCGAGGTCAAAGGCTCAGGGTGTGGCCCCCTAAGAAAATCACCTGCTTCGGTTCGGGCACTCGGGCAGTATCATAGCTCTCACACAAATCAATGATAACTACCATTGACCTCATTGTTATTGCGTGGCGCATATGTATTTGGCGCCCCCTTGTACCCATGTTTATATGTTCAAATAAATAAATAAAACACACAAAATATGATTTTTAGAGGTCAAACAATTTAAATATTTGTTTTAATAATCTATGCAACAGATATCTAAACAGAATGATACAAACTGGATTTAATTAATAAATGTAGTTTCATACTAGTAACAATAAAATTTAAGTAGTATAAGCGATATCAACGTTCATGTTTGGCGTAAAATACTGCGTAAATGTAACACAGATAAGTTATTAGAGTGATTGATATTTATCGGTTTAGATTATTATATTATGTATTTCGAATCTTAGGTTACTATTTTCCTTGACACGATTTAAAGGTTAGTATAAGGATGAATCGCAAAAATCTGGGAGTGGCCAGTTCATGAAATCACTGACTTTTTGTTTGAGCAGCATTGCAAGGTAGAGATTTATGGGTATAAGGGTTCATGAGTAGTGACCAATGTCATGTTCGCATAATTTTTAGTACTGATGGGATTCAATCAGTCAAACTGCAATGTGGCCACTAGTTTGTGTGACGTAACATTGTGTGCACTATGTTTTACTGCTAGGTTGTTAGAGATAGTCAACGGGAGACCCTGCTCGACAAATGTTTTGTGGTGGTTGTCTCTCGTCAAGTATCCATATCTATAAACGTGAGGGAATAGGTGCTTCTTTGGGGATTCAAGTATACATCATCCAGCATCATAGTTTGAGATATTAACAATGAGCTATTCGGTTTGTGACTATCCTTCACGACTGACATTTTTATAATAACTTATCAGTATGACGGTTATTCAAAAGTTTTTCATCTTTTTTTTACATCGATCATCATTATTCAGTGTAATTTACAATTATTTTAACAAAATGCTAATAGATTAAAATTTTTTTACATCAATGACCTAATTAAACTGACATTTATTGAATACCAAGCGGCACTGGACAGCTTGTTTCATCCTAGTACAACACTCTTCAGCGACGCGCATACATGTCCCCCCCCCAATCATGAAGTATCGGACTAACGACCAATAAGTATACTACTTCCAAACTAAATTACAGTAGTTTTTTTTTATTATTTCAAAGATCGATAAATTCTACTTTCTATTAATGAGAGATTCGTACAGAATTCGATTCAGAAGAATTACAGGAAGTGTTTGAATAGGATTATTATTATTACTGTTATTATTGCCAAAAACTCATATGACTATTAACTTGAATACATTGATTTACTTTATGATGTAAAGTTTATCGAATTTACATAGCGAACTTAAAGTAATTATTTGTTTATCTTTATATATGTATATAAGTAGTATGTACTATAATTACAGTAATACTCTTGAACATACACGCAAAACTACATACGAAACAATAATTTATTTAGTTCTTTTTTCGAATAGATTTGGAAGAGAAAGAGGATGAATCAAGAGAAATTTAGTAACACGAATATATTAATCGTGCACAGGTTAATCAAACCAGTACACTGACAAAGAATAAAACAAAGTACGTTTTATTTTCAATGCAACATTAAGTTTTTGTTTCTTAATAGTGTCACATGTTTTTAGGTCGAGTGTTTTTTTTCTCTTAGATATTGAGAAAATGAAATACTTAACCATCATTGTAGAACGTATTATTTTCTTTGAATAAAATAATGCTGGACACGTAAACCATTGTATGCCGGTTCAATAGTCTAAGGAAGCTAAACTTTCTCCTTAAGACTCGTTCTCTGGTGTGGTCATGGACGTGGATCATTGATGAGTTCAACATAAGGAAGGAACAGATGTCCATTACCTCCTATCTTTCAACAGGGACTTAACTGAAATTAGCTAGATATGATAACTTTAAAATTCAACAATCTTTATAAATTCTTATACTGCAAAATAACGACAAGAAATTGACGTTTCGTTTCCACTAAAGATAAACTCATCCTCAGTTCTGAAGATAATAATAACAATGCCGAGGAGCAAAGTTAGGGAATGAATAGCTGTCTAACAATAATGTATTTCGAATTATGAGATTAAATGATCCGAGTTAAAATCTTACAGGTATCAGTGATATGATGATAAGCAAGTATTAAGCCTAACAGTCAGATATCTTAATCAATTGACGAATGAGTGACCGATATCCATCTAAAAGGGTGACTATCAAAAAGACGACCGCCAAGAAGTCGCATATTAATGAAGGTGAACTTCAAAATGGGGAATAACATTTTTAATGATGCGCAATCTGTTTGATTCCCTATCTGTCCCTATACCCCAGGACAAAAAAAAGTAGTTTTCTAAACGTCTACTGAAGAATCTACTATTAATAAATACTGAAACGTTTCAAATTCGATAACAAATTATTTCTTTTATTACCCTAGTCATGTTATCTTGTACATCTATTTCGAATAGTTAGGGGATAGTCCATTTAGAGGAATGCTTTGAAAACGTTTCAGTAATGTTCGGTGAATTTCTCTTTTTGAATAAGTTTTAAAAGCTAAAAACATATCTATGTTTTAAAACTAAAAATGAATGTACTATTCCATGTAGATAGTCTAATGTCGATCTGTTCTTGTCATCTTCTATGACCAGTTTGATATATACCACTAACTCTTTATAATTTCTTTTTAAGTGCTATTGCTAGATTCCTCCCAAAACTGTTTGATTTTCAATCGATTCAAACTTTTTCTCAGAGAATTGATAAATTCCCATCTGGTTTTGATAAGCTGCACCAGTAAGTTAGCTAAAGCCTTTGAGAAAACAATATACCTAATTATTTATGAGACTAACTAGCCATAATCGGAATAGCCCAGTGGTAATGGTGAAAATTATGAAGTTAGATGACTTAGGTTCGAATCCTGTGAAAAGTATCAACTCCTTCAAGACTACAGGTACACTATACTGACAAGAGTCAACTAGTACAGGAATATGACTAAATAAGGTTCGGTGTCGATTACCTCCAAAAATATTTAACATCTTAACACGGTGTCAATGTGAGCACATTCAGACCAGTGTTCACATTGAAACTAAATTGATTGAAGTTTATCAGTACTAAAAGATTAGACACATATGGTTATTAGTCTGTTCTCAGTGATAAAATCAATTGTAGACAATATATTTTATTTATGGAACTAACGAAAAGAGAGGTGTTTTAAGAAAGTTTGAAAGAAAAAAGAAAACATTGAACTATTACTTCTACTTACTGTAATATGTCTTATTTGACTATATCTGGTCTCGATACCTGAAAGAAAGCATCAATATTCAAGTGATTCGAAGACAGATATTAGATTTAGTGATATGGTGAGTAATAACTTAATGAATCAGAATGCGAATGACATATGGAATTAGCTTTTTCTCCAAATATGTGTGACATTTATTCATCAAATCTTAAGAAGGATCACAGATGCTTAGTTGCATAGCATGGGAAATATGTGCTTATATAGTAAGTGGTTGAATTATTACTGTTAGACACAACTCAGTTCAAATTATAAAAATCTGACTGCTAACCTAACTATAAGATATATGAAATGTGATGTATTCATGTATCCTTAACACTGGTTTTCACGTCTATTTTCTTGTGTTCAGGTTTCCGTGTAGGTTTAGTCTGAGGTCAATAGAAGCGGCTAAGAATTCGGATCGAGCGTTTATTTAGTAAAGTAAAATTCTAATAAATAAACGTTGAGATTACTCTACGCAATGATTACACGAAGTGTATATATTATGATTTGTTAATAGGCGGTAATTTTTTAGTGAGTATGTAGTAAATCTAATGACTTCCTCGATTAAATTCATCATCATGTCATGTTCAATACAGTTAAGAACGACGTAACGATTGCCACACACCGAATATCAGATGACTCCAGTATATAAATAATCAAGAAGTCTCTGAGATGTAAAATCAATAAATAATAAAATCTTTCCTGAAAGAGAAATGATTTAGTGGCTAAGATAATCAAGTTCCAGCCACGAAGTCCCGATCGGTTTAATTCAGTTTGGTCAATTGGGTAGTATTATTAGAATGTGTCTAATAACCAAATACCTATTGAATGAACTACTTAGAATGAAATCGATAGTTAAGGTATAACTCATAATGATCAACATTATAGATGCAGAACGTTTATATTGATTATTACAACTTACTTCATCTTGACGAATAATTGGAATTTGTGGTGATTCTGAGAGATAAGGTGACCAATCATATGAGGAATTGTGATGAAAAGCATTTCTATTCTGAAATTAGAATTATTATTATTTTTCGTTAAAAAAAAGCATAAATTAAGGAAAATATGATCAAGTATAAGTAGTATTGAATGAAGGTTAAAGAAAAAACTGGCAACTAATTGTTACACTCTTATTAAATACAAATAATTGGAAATATCGAAGTTAATTATTAAGTCAGATGAACACATTAACATGCCTTCCTCATATGATAATTCTAATTAGATCAAACTGTTTAATTTGTACAAATTTGTGCGATGTAATTCACTTGAAAGTAGTATTGTGAATTGACATGATAGTAATAAATTCTACTTTCAATTTCATCAATTTTAGCATAGATTTCTGAAAAAAAATCAATAAATTTCCATCTAGTTAAATGTAACGTAGAACCTCGTACGTGTATAGATCAGTTCAAGTTGCCATACCCTTTCCCATTAGCATAATAAGATGACATTGTTAGGGGAAAATTCAGAGGAATTTAGTAATTTCGGATAAACAAAAAGACAAAGAGTGAATGCACCTGTTGCTAAGGTAAACGATTTTGAGCCATATCATTCAAATTCGTTAAATATTGGTTACGATAATCATGTAAACTCTCAAGAAAACTATTACATAACAAGGTGTAAAAATGAAATTAAAAGATTTCGCATAAACAGATTTCGAATTTTGGCTATAAATGATTTAAAGGAAATAATACTTTGAAAATCTATATTATGTCAAGAAATTAATATCAGAATGTTAAATTGAGCTTTTCACAAACACACAGTATATGTTCATGATAATGTGTATGCAATCTATGTTTCATAGAACGTAAATACACAATTGAAGAACATCTGGAACTCAAAACAACTTTCAACCAATATCAAAGTCAGAATCTTCAATACAAACGTCAAGGCAGTTCTACTGTACGGAGCTCAACTTGGAGAAATACAACAACCGCCATCAAGAAGGTACAAGTATTTATAAACAACTGTCTACGCAAGATCCTCAACATCAATTGGCTGGATACCATCACCAACACCTTACTATGAAAGAGAAAAAACCAGCTTACAGCTGAAGATAAAATTCGGAAAAGACGATCGAAATGGATAGGACATACATTACGCAAATCGTCAAACTGCATCACGAGGCAAGCCCTCACTTGGAATCCTGAAGGGAAGCGGAAAAGAGGAAGGCCAAAGAACACATTACGTTGGGAAATCGAAGCAGATATGAAAAGGATGAATAACAACTGGAAGGAGCTGGAAAGGATTGCCTAGGACAGGGTTGGATGGCGAATGCTGGTGAGCGGCCTATGCTCCTTCACGAGGAGTAACAGGCGTAAGTTAAGTAAGTAAATACACATAAACTCTCCTTGACAGAAAAAAGAAAGAATAATAAACATACAGCGTATTTTATTATATAATTCAACGGTTAAAAGAAGTCGAGTGAACTAATTATTATAAAAAAATAATGTCTTTTGCAATCGGATCCCTTTAAATTTAAAAGTGTCAACTGATTCTGAAGATTACTTACATTTATCCAATTAAGTAGTAAGTAAACATTCTACTGGTAAGATTTCAACTATACGCTTATGATTCCTAATATGAAGTTACGTACAAGTGTTAGAGTCTTATTCCATTACTTTGTAAATAACGTTTATAATTCTTCATTTATAGAGAAGATAAATAATGACATCAACACGAAGATATAGAAGTAATGACATATGAATGAGATTAACTTTTGAAAATACGAAGAGAAAGTTTGTATAGAATAGACGAGCATTACGTCTTATTCAAGACTAATCAGCTGAATGTAGTTGGATCTCCGACTTGATGTTCAATCCGGAATTCGAATCAAATTTCATACTGCTCGAACGATATAGCATTATCTACATAGCTACTCAGTTCAGTAGGTTACTCATCTATGCAACGGGTATGAGTTCCAGTTTAAATTAAAATGACTTGGATTATCCCATTGATATTTTGACTGGAATTTGACACGAACGATACTGGGTTCGAGTAGTAGAGTGGACACTGAATCTGGGATGAAGTGCCATTCAGTTGAAAAGTCCCAAATATGATGAAACACGCTTCCTGGATTCCACACTCCATCTATTCTATATTCACTTGTTTCATAGAGGCTACATCGAAATAGTTCGAACATCATACACATATACCACACAAGACTGATCAAATTTCGGTCGAAATATCAACAACGGGATAATCCGAACAACATTATATTGATACAAAGAGGAATGTTATACGCACATTATTCATATTACATCATCTTATAAAATCCAGATAACTATTAATTTATTGGGTCTGATGTTGGTCAAAATGAAAGAAACTATTGGATATATTTCTTCTGTATATGATGTTTCGGACTTTTAGATCTGAATACTTGTTACTTGTGTATTTGAGAAGATTTGAATCTAGCAGACTTCAGCACATACAGTACTCACAATATAAATCACTAAAAGCAATTGATTTATGCTGGGAGTATGGGGTGTCTGAACTAAATGAAAAAGTATCGAGCGGTTTATATACTTGATCACACCTTTGCTTCGATGATCCCTCAATACTGTGGATTGATTGAAGTCAAGTATTACACTGTTGAGCGCTGATTCAGTGGTCTAAAGAATAAGAGATCGTACATCAGACCGAATGTCTTGGGTTCGATTTCTGCATGTGCGGAGTCGTGAGTGAGTACAGCTGAGGGGTCCCGTGCTAGAATGAAATGGACGATCAGTGCTTCCAGGTTTTCAATGGTGGTCTAATTTAAATCAGTTTATGATTTAAATGAAATCCAATAATTTCCAAAACCCTATACTGAAAATTTTAAAAGTTTTGGACATAAACGAAAATCTGGACTTTCATGACAAAATTAATTTGACTATTACTAATCAATCAGTGACAATATTCTGTCTGATTATTTAGTTATAGTTAATTCGGCAAATATAAAATACAATAATAGACATGAGATAGTTGGTAAGCAGGTCTTATAATTTATTTCAAAAAAGTATTCCCAAGGCTGTTGCTTGAATCTGTCTTCGATTCAAACATTTCATTATCTTTGTCTATAATCAACAATATGAGTATAAATACAAATATTTAAGGGATATAGAATGACCGGGTGAATAAATCTAAATAGTTCCATCATTCATTAGTTGAAGCATTATTTCATACTTTGAGCTTCGGATTCGAACCCTGTGCACAAACATACTCTAGCCTGCCCGGACTAATAGTATCACTTCAAAACCAAGGTTATAAAACCACACTCAAGGAATTGAGTTAAATTATATAAAATTTGTATTTAGCTTTTAAGAAACAGTTGACAACTGACTAACTTTTAATGCTGTCATTCGAAAAGTTAGAATATATTTAATTTAAAATGTTATAAACGAACAAAAGAAAAGGAAATATAAGTGATTTTATGAAGATTGGTAGAGCTTCCAATGTTGATATGATATAATTTAGAAAAATATTATGGAGAAAAAGAACAAATGACGAAGGAAGAACATTATATATTTACCCTGGATACATTTCATGGGACAATTAACAGCTGTTATTATAGTTTAAACTCTATGAAAATCAAAGATATAAGCCATTAACAACCCTCCAAAATTGATTGTATAATAAACATAGTATTTTCAAATCGCTAATTAGGTATAGTGATAGTGGTAAATAATTCTTTTAACTACAAAGTGATTTAGCCAATTGTCACCAACATAGAACCTAAAAGATATGTGCGTCAGTTCAAGACACCATAAAATTATCACAAAGAGTACCAGAATAGTAGAAGTAGTAAACCTATCAGTGGAAGTAGGAAACACTAGGTATAGATAATATAATGTCACACAAGGTTTCCAATAATTGATCCCAGTAATCTGGGAGATTTTAACTAGTTAGCTTGAACCTACCAACAAAGCTCAGTTCAGTAGCAAATGACTTTATGGACTGATGTAACGTCATGGTTTGATTACTCACCGACCATATTAGCCAATATAAACCATCGAGGTTGATGGTAAATGATCATATTTAAGATATTTCCCGATTACTCCAGTCGATACTTTGCTCCTAACCTTAACATTGATCACTCAGTGATCCAAATATATTCAAACAATGTTCCGAAGACATTAAGTATTTCTAACAAGTCATAATTACTCTGTGAAGTACATTTTAATTAAGCAACGTTCACCAGAAAAATGCATTATTCAAATACACTAAGCAAATACGATTTTGTAATAAATATATACTCACATATCTCATATTAGAATTGAGTCAACAAAATAAAGTTTACATTGATTTGTAGAACAATTAAAAGCACGTGAACTTCTTATCTTTTTCGGTCAATTCCACGTGATTTAGCAAAGTCAGCGTACACATACACGGTGTGATTATCTCATATGCAAAGTTAAATTCATTAAAAATCAATGCGAATAATACTTTTAAAAGACTATATTACATATCCATAGAATGTAAATTGTGTGAGACCAATCAGAGTGTTGAAAAGGTTGTGACTTTAACGGTCTAATCATTCACGTACGTAAACTTATGAATGTTTGAGTTACAGTGACTGGATGCCTGAAACATAATAATAGAATTTTGTCTGATAAGTTCTCTTAAAAAGATTTAATACTGGGGAAAAGAGAAAGGTATATCCTAGGCCAATAGGAGTCAAAGTTATCTCGTCATTGCCCAAGATCAACTGAAGCTTATCATTGGTCAAAGAAAAGGACATTAGTAAATAGATGAAAAGGTATACTCAAGACAGAGAATTCTGAATCCAGGTGCTGGATCTTTTCTAGTGATATTCATCAAATCGTAAGTCATAATAGCATTGATTTTGTATGATTGGAGGCAATTTACAGGAACCTCAATGTAAATCGTATCCAAGATTCATCTGTAATATTGAAAGAACTAACACTTGATGTGAAATTTGAACTAATGGTATAATTAGAAGCGTTAATACAAAGCTCGGTCCAGAAGTGATCAATCATGACTTGAATAGTTCAGTACTAACATCTCAAACTATGGTATTGAGCAAAAGGGGTTCGAATTGCGTAAGGATCATTAGTTCTTTTAAGACTGAGGATACAGTTTGTTGTCGACTGTTAGCTTACAAGATTATCTACAACTACTGTTAAATTAACAAAAACAAACTGACAACTAATTTCTATGAGAAAGTGGTAGAAATGTACAACTCAATAAGTTGAAAACACGTAAAGCTAAGAACGTTATACTGTTTCAATTCAAATTTCTACATCAGTCAGTCAGTCAGATACAACGTAGGACCAGGCACATATATGCATCGGCCCAGGTTGCCATACCGCATTAGCACAGCAAGACGAACACCAGATTCATAGGAGTGGTTAGGTCAAAGGTGGTAATATATAGGGGAAAGATTGCATATAAGGATACAGTACAGGAAGAAAGAATTAGTTAGTAGAAAGAAAGATATGAAGTGATTTTAATCTCTTAGTTTAAGGGAAGACAGGGAGTGTATACACCTACGCCATTGTGTGATAAGAGAAAAAAACAGTTGAATAGAACATAAAAACTAAACAAAAATGAAGATATGTGGAAATAGGGAATTATTAGGTAAAACAAATTATAAGCTAATAATTAAAATTCAGCACAATTATTTGAATGAATAATATTCTTTTTAATTAAGTCTCTTTAAGTTCTACAATTATATTATTCAAAAAATAATCCCAAAATGTACCCATGGATAAGGCAAATTACATTGTTTGAAATTAGAACATGTAAATTTAGGATTGTTTGTATTATAATATAAAACTGTTAATGTTGAAATGACTCGTATTCGGTATTAATTTGAATGAGTTTATACCTCCCTCAAGCACAAATTGGAGTAAGCCTTACAAACCACTGGATTCTGACTTAGCGACCTAGAGGTAAAGCGTTCGAGAGTGAAACCGAAGGACCTGAGTTCGGTTCCCGCTTGTACATTCATAGATGTGCACTACTAAGGAGTTGCAATCTAGGACGAAACAGCCATCCAATTCATTTAGGTTTTCAATGGTTGTCTTACTTTGGTTAGTTCGTGATTTCAATGATATTATTATTACCATCATTGTTATTATTATAACGCTCACAAACATGTTGAGAAATTTATTCAGCACCCATTCCTATGTACTAATCCCTACTCAATACTTATTATTTACGCATTACGTAATTCATGAACAAACATTTATTTTGATTTGTAATTACATTATTATCTTTTTCATCCCATGTTACCCATATTTATTCTGATCATGAATCGTACAATTTCATTTAAGGTATAAACTTATTCAAGTCACTAGTTCATAATAACCATCTCAACATTAACAATTTCATGTTAATTTACAAATAAACCAAAATTCTCATGTTATAATTTCAAATGATGCATTTGTCATAAACCTGGCCACTTTTTGGGATTGTTAATTTTGAGGATAATACAAATGTAGAACTAGAAGAGAGTTGATTGAAAAGTATATTCTTCGTTTATATAACTCTGTTTTTTCTTAATAGGATGGGAAGTTTTCAACGATTCAATAAACGAAAATGAGTTTACCACGTACTGAAAGCCTATTTCATAACATTGTCATAAAATTTCTGGTATATAATTGAATCCTATTCATCTTAGTTGATGTTTAATTGAAGAGACATGAAGTGAGGTAGTTTCTAATGTGAACACTTTGATTTTATGATATTACAAATAAAAACGTTTTGTCAATAAGATAAACGCGAACAGCTGTATTATTTTAATGTTTTTAATTGTTCTAGGTAATCATTATCAGCTGAAGGCTCTGGACTTCAATTTTACAAGATAGTTGTTGTCAACTATTTTTGAGTTATCATCCTCTCCTCAAAGTCACAGATGTTACAACTGAAACACCAGTTACACTTAAATTAACTATACAATATTTAGTATCCAAGCGATGTTAGGCAGTAATTGAATTGAAAGGCAACTTGAACAATTCAGAATTCATTAAATTATAAAAGTGTTAGTCGAATTGTAGCCAAATGATTTGACCCACTATAATTTAGAATCATATTGAACTTAATTCGATTTAAAATGTTAAGTATAATCATTACTAAGTGTTAAACAAAGCCTATTGCTTTACATTGATGCACAAACCTAGTTGTACAATCGTATATATATGAAAATTTTGTAAAAGTACTAATTCCGTGAAGAAATGTGAACACAGTTAATAAAAAGGTTATAATACTAGATTACGTAATACGAATAATAACAATAGATTATTATAATATTCATTAAATCTATTGTTATTATTCGTATTACGTAATCTAGTATTATAACTTTTTTATTAACTGTGTTCACATTTCCTCACGGAATTAGTAATTTTACAAACCTAGTTGGCGAGATGTTTAGTATGTTAAGATGAATATTTTAAACAAATGTATTCAAAACTTGTTATATTAAAGGGGTTTGGGAAAATGTTCACTATTGTAAATAATTCTTATATTGCGTCTAAAATATGAATGTAAATATATATATCTTACTATTGAACTGACCATATATTACACAGCAACCCTGGATATATATATATATATATATATATCAACAAAAATGGATTCGACACATAACAAATGAGGTTAACGTACTAATCAAGGGGTAAGGAAGAACAAAATTTAAGGGTCAGATAATAGTCCAATTGACAGATATGAAGAAAAACGACAAAACAACAAAGGTCATAATAATAGACTGAATAATAATCAAGAAAACTTGTAAAAGGTAATAATAATAATAAAGGGGAGCGAAAAACAATCCCGAGTTCGATACAGGAGCACTTAATCAACTGTGGACATATCGCTCCAAAAGACTCTTCGTTTAAAATAGTTTACAGAGTCAAAGGAACTGGATCGAAGGGGGTTCGAATCAATATTTTATGCACCGCAGAGGCATTGGCAATCCACAAACTAAAGCCTGAACTTTGTGTGCAGAAACGATTTGTCCAACCTCTCATCCTTCCCTGGCCCTTATTCCCTTAATGGATATGTTTCTAGGTGTTTTTTTTAATGAACTTTTATTATTACTATTTTGCACTTTTAATCATTTATTATTATTACCTTTTACAAGTTTTCTTGATTATTATTCAGTCTATTATTGTGACCTTTGTTGTTTTGTCGTTTTTCTTCATATCTGTCAATTGGACTATTATCTGACCCTTAAATTTTGTTCTTCCTTACCCCTTGATTAGTATGTTAACCTCATTTGTTATTTATTGTCGAATCCATTTTTGTTGATACAATCCATTCTATCCTTCTATAGACATACATTTGGCAAATGTATGTCTATAGAAGGATAGAATGGATTGTATCAACACCTAACAATACATCTATTCATTTACATATTCCTATCATTTCGTTGAAATCTATCAAATTTGTCAGGCAACGGTAAATTAGGAAGATAAACTAGCAGGGGTACAAATACTGATTATGAAAATGATGACTGATATGAAAAAATATCAACTGATTATCAATAAAAGCTAGAGAAAATAACACGATTAGTTAAGAATAATTGTTCAGTTAATACACAATCCATGTAATGTTTGCAGAGTAGAGAAAAACTGAGAGTTTAGACATGAATAGGCATATGATAATTGATTCAGCATATCAGTCAGCTAAAATCAAACTCAGAATTTTCAATAAAAACGTCAATATGGTTATATTTTGGGGAGCTTAAAATTGGAGAACTACTGAAACTATCATCAAAAAGATGAAAGTGTTTATCAACAAATGTCAGAATGAGTACACTAGTTTTGTAGAGATAATTAAATTCTTCATAGTTTACATCATGGACTAATCTTAACTAACAATTGGGAACCAGGGAGTACTGGACAGTTGTTTTGTCCTCGTATGGGACTTCTCGGTAGTCGACACCAACGACCCAACGAAGGATCGAACCCGGGAAGTTCGGTCTTGCAGTGAACGCTTGACCCTTAGAATGCTGAGCCAGTACATCCAATCATACAAACGCAGAACTTCAATAACTTTATAATATTGCCCAATTATATTTGATTACCTGAGGTGAATAACCGTCTCAAACCCGACAAGGTTGAACTACACTAGTCAAAACTTCTCACTAGAACTCCGCGGAAGTTAGTAACTAGTGAGCACATGATTATTGTTATTATTAGAATAGAAAGTCAAATGCTCAAAAGAAACAATTGTATAAATGCTTCCTGGTCTTCAACAGATGTTTCATTAAGATCAGTGGTTTGTAATGTAACCTCCATTAACCCCTTACACGTATATGAATTTATTCATTATCACATGTAAATTGTTGCATGCTTAAATTAACAACACAACGTAGTAACAATAGCGAGGCAACAAAAAAGTTTCTTACATTTAACATATCGATAGGTAAGGGAATAGGCGGATTATGTTTACTAATGACAGAAGATACATTCGATGGATTGTCAGCGGAATCACGAATATGTTCATTCGAAGAGGAATCCAATTCTTTAGCACCGACTGGCCAAGCATCTTCGCCAACTTTTCGCCAACCACGTAAAAGGCTACTCAGGTGAAAAAACCCAGAAAAAACATATCAGTATCAGTAAAATTCATATCGTAATATATTGCGTTAAGCTGTATATATGATAAACCAAATCGATTTTTTTAGTTATCTGATAACTGGTGTAGTGATCGAAGTCATGCTTGAATAATTGTTAATTTCGATAGAATTTATAGACCACGTTGTAATATGGTCACTATTTCAAGTGAATAAACAACGTGTGTACTGGGTCATAGTTTTAAGGTAGGAAGTCTACAAGAAATCATGTTTGGCTAAGGTTTTGTGTTAGATGTTACACGTATGTACTATTGTAAAGTCACTGAACAATAAGTAACTTAATGTATAATTGTAATTAAAACACAAACGTCAATAAAACTTATTATCATGGTCTAGGTTTTGACTTAAATATGTTATTATTATTATCATCATCATTATTATCATCAGCTTTATTCAGTATTATATTTTTGGTACAATATAGAATTCTCAGCGTAAAGTATTTCAACGAGTTCCCGTTTGTTTCTTCTTGGTCGGTCCTGGCGATAAATATTGAGTGATTGCCAGTCAGATGTTAGCAGTTCAGTAAATGAACATCTGAATAATGTGCATTCTTTTCGTTGTACATTGCCAGCAACCACATTGTCTCTTATTGAGTTTTTTGTAAATTTGACAACGAAAGGTTGTATACTTTTCAGAAACGCAGCAGGATAGGTTATGCGATTAATAAACATAATAATATATTAAAACAAACAAAAATAGATAACTTGTTGAAATATCTAGATGGCAGGAACAGGTAGCTCAGATACTCAAGCAGGCCGCCCTTTAGTAGGAGATAACAGGAAGCTCTGAATCAATGTTACATGCTGGTTGACTATTATTAGGAAGGCGTACCTGCAATTACGAGAGTACTGGTATTTTCTTTATTTTTTGAACTAGGACCACCCATCTCTATATATTGATGCTGAGCTCTTAACAAATTTACTTATCATCGCCCACTGTAGTTTTTGCAGAAAATATACATCAAAAGTACTACTATTGAACCGTTAATCACAATTTTTTATATTCTTCAATAAAAATCACATGTTTCCTCTCAACCTACGCAATAAACATACTCAAATTAAGATAAATAGTTAATTTCTAAATAAAATTGCACTACATTTACAAACTATCTTTTATTGGTAAACAAAAAAACACTAAATTAACTCGCGCATTATACATCACATTAAGGTTGAACGAAATCTTTGAAAAAGACTTAATTCAGAAAGGTAAATTCGAAAATTGTTCACGGGTAGTACGCACTTCACTGCCAATGTAATTAAATGCAGTCGATAGGAAATTCTAGACAGGGATTTCATGCTAACTTCTTATACAGTGATACTGATGGTCAGGGTTCAAATCATACATTACAAATTATCAGTTCTCTCAAGATTGTACATATACCATGCTAATGAATGTGAACTAGCATAAAACACAGATCAAGTAGCGTTGGTTGCAGAATATCTCCAACCACCTAATATTTAAATATCGTGCATCCAATGTCAAAACATTTGGTAATAGTGGACACATTGTAGTGTGGTCAATTGAATTCAATCGGCAAAAAAAGGCTAAACAAAAACTATATCGATCACAAATCGTTGATTAGAAACAATCACTGAAAAAATTGATTGTGTAATAAGGGTAAGATAGAACTGTTCTAATAATAATATAAAATGGTTTTATGAATTTTATAAATAAAACGAATAACGATTGAGATTATGAATCGATCACTGTTAACCAGCACTAAAAACCTGGAAGTTCTGGACGCCGTTTCGTCCTAGTAAGAGACTCTTCAGAAGTGCTCATCCACGATCCCGCACGTGGGATTCGAGGTTTCCAATGGTGGTCTAACATTGATTAATTTATAATCTCAGTCAAAACTCAACAGTCTTCACAACTCTACACTGATGAAAATGAATAGCTGATGTTTATCACTGGTGTTATAATCATTCGAACAGTTAACAGCTTTAGAAATAATGACAGAAGTCTTATGTTTTGGAAAAACAATCCATAAAACTAGACGAAACCTAATTAGGATAAATAATTGATATATTTCTCTGATTAAATTGTATCTGTTGATTTACGACTTTTCATTGAAAAAGAAATGATAATATATAATTTTTCGTGCTTAATTCTCCTTGCACTGTATCTTATATTGTGTTTACGGCTAGCATCATTTGTTCATTGGTTTACGTATATTTTAGATCATTTGGTTACTTTATTTTTAAAGTCATCGGGTATACTATTTACACATAGTTGATGTGATCAGTTAGCGCATTTAACGGGTACGAATTCATAGACATGGCTTATGGTCACACTATGAGATCTAAAAGCTAATAATACTATCCTATTGTCTACAATGAAGTGGGTGGGTTGGGGTTCGACCCTGCGAGTGAAAGTCCAAATTCCTAACGATTAAGCTGCTTATTCATAATAGATGTACTTCCATATCATCCTTTAAAAATGATTAACGAAAAATTCATTCATGAAATGCACGGCATCAACTTTTAGAAGGTATCCAGAAATAATCAATAAGTCATAATAAAAAAGTAGCTTTAAGATTATTTTTGTTACCATAGTTAGAAAAACAAAAGACATTAAACAAATTCGAACATGTGACCATAAGCTTTGAAAACTTCACTGAGTCATAATTGTTTTCTAACTAATCTGTTAAAAACATACACCATAACTTCTAATTAAAGGTATTTTAGAAGAATTTGAGCGGGGAATTTAGATAGGTGTGTATAGACTTTTTCTATAAAATATAAGATTTATAAATATGTTAGTTTTCATCAACAGATAATTTTTCTCTTGTCAGTAAAGAGTTGTGGAGATGCTGAATTCCATTAAAATCATGAACTGATTTAAATTAGAACATCATTGAAAACTTGGAAGTCATCGACAGCCGTTTCGTCCTAGTATTTCACTCCTCAGAAGTGAGGATTCGTGACCCTGAAACCGAGAATAGGACCTGTGGCATTCGGTCTTGCGTGCGAATGTTTCACTTGACTGAAGTTACACTTGTACATCATTGGATCTCGGAGTCTGATACTAGGACAAAACGGCTGTCCGTCACTCCCAGGTTTTGAATGGTTGACTAACTTAGACCAATTCGAGCTATTTAAAAGGAATCTCGCATTATACATATTACGCACGGCATCCAGTATTTTAATTCGATTCCTAACAAGCTGAAGTAAGAAGTTTGATTAATATGCAAGAAAACAGGAAGGCTAAGAGAGAGCCTAAAACAAAGCTGTGTTATTACGAGTCTCTCAACAGTTTAAACCAATACAGTGTAACGACAGATTACCAATTTGAAAAAATGACAAAGTAAAAATGACACAGACAATAGCAGAGAACGAAAAGATATTCAGAGGAAAAATGAACAGAGGGAATATAAGGGTGAAATAATAAGATTCTCAAGATTTACAGAAAGATGAAGTGTATATATCCTCTATCATTAAAACAAATTTTGAAATGCATTACCTCAGGTTTCTGAGAATTAATGAATACTTACTAGCAGACATAATGACATTATACTACCTGAATGGTTTGAACAAAGTAGATGAAACGATTTTTAATGTGTTAAGCCGTTCGAAAATATCTTTCATCAAACTGTTTCGCACCTTATCTCTGTCGTTTCAGTTGACTTGTAGAAATAATTTGGAGTTATAAAAGGTGGCTACGATGGCAGTAGTAAGCGTTCAAGTAATAGACTCATCACAAACCAGGCTGCTCAGTGATTGAAAATTAAGCAGTTTAACTACCCTATTGCACCGTTTTATAACCACTAACTTTAGCTGACCTTAGTTATCAGTCAACCTACTCTTAAATGAGCTAATATTGAGCGTTTAGGTAGGTAGCAATTAGACATACGTAATTTTACAATCGAATGATCACTGAGTAGTGAGCAATGTCGTAAATCCCAAGTGCCTCCTGGTGCTGACCGAATTCGATCGACCATGTTGTAATGTGACCGCTAGTCTAAGTAACTCGATACCACGTGCACTGTTTAGCGATGTAAAGCAATGGCTAACGTTAGTAGACGTGATACCCTGAACCAATATTTCGCAAGGTATGCTTGTAATCCTGAGGTGACTGATGGTCTCTGACGGCCAATCAATTGCAAATACTCCCAGTCCTACTGGAGGTTAGTCGTAGCCCTGGTAGCTCAGTGGTAACCTTGTGTGAGACTGAGGTGTTTTCTTTACAATTGATTGAAACGAGATAGAATCCGCTTGGAACATCATTTCCCTCAAAATCACAGATAGATTATGCTGATAAGTGTGAAACAGCATGAAATCTAGGTCCAGTGGATCCTGACGACTAACCCCAAACACCACATTACAAACTGACATATTACATGTCACAAACAAATCAAGTTATGAAGATTCACAATCTCATTAACTCATTTGCCACTTTTATGTAATATCTTCGATGCCAAACACTAATATTTCTCAAAATGCTTAGATTAAAAACAGTTTCAGTTATTCAGATAACTGACAAAAAAAGGATAAAACTGAAGTTTAATGTTATTTTATAACCAGTGGTGTTAAATTTCGAAATTTAATGACCAATAGGTATCACACTATTTTATTCATTTGTAAATATTTACAACCTGGAATAATAAAAATTACATCGGGCTAATAATACCATAAATTTCAGACACTTTTTCATAACTTTTAATAGTTATTCACTTAAATTATTATTAGAATTTAGTATAATATAGTTTTAATTAAGTGATTATTATTGGACATTTAATTGGTGGTCTAAACAATCAATCCAAATGTATACACATTATTGATTAGTTTAATCATAAAATGAACGAAACCACTACCGAACGTCTACATCCCCACTTTGATTTATGTAGTTAACAATACCAGTTGGAGTGAACAGATTTCCTTTCAACTAGTTGTTATCATTAAGTAACATATACTACTGAAATACGATAGAAACACAATTTAACTTGGTTGTGCACAATATTCAATATATTTCACAATTAAACCATTAAGACCATAATTTGTATTAATACGTATATATTAACACTTGCTATAAAAAAACGATAGTTATATCGTTAAGTTTAAACATTAAATCCTTCAAAATATTGAACAACAAATGACACGAACAATTATTTATACACAGTGATGAACTTTGAAATGATTAGATGACTGTTTCAATAAATAAGGCTACCAATATTTAAATCATATTTAACATGTAATAAGTATTATGTGATAAGCAATTAACAACTAATGTTAAGTTTTTAGTTCATCAGATAGATAACTATTTGGAACACTAGTACTGCTACTAGAAATAGTAGTAGTATGATAGCTGCAATATACTGATATATGGTCTAAGATAGAAAATTGGATGGAAAGATGGGAAGCATGTCAAGCTAAATTGTTGAAGTGTATGTGGTTCGAATCGTTATTATTATTATTATTATTATTATTATTATTATTATTATTATTATTATTATTATTATTAATCCCTGATATGTAACTACAACAATTCATTGAATCAAGTATCATTTAGTCTCTTTAATGATCGATTTCTCCTATCTACCACAACTCATTTCTAGTTTCTTATGCAACAGAATGAAAAAAAAGTGAAATAAACTACATGTGGAGTACTTAATTAAATATTAATAATTAGAGGTAAACAATTAAATCATTCAGTTCAGAGGAAACATCACTATCAAGTTTAATATTATACAGAAATAAACATAATGTTAACAATAATAAAATACTATTCTCATCAATTCACTAACCTAGGCATTTGTGGACCACAAAGTGTATAAACATAATTGTAGAACATATTTTTATGTGAATAAGGATTTTTATGACCAGCTTGTTTTACAATACGTGGGAAATGACGTATCTAATAGATAAGTAGAATAAAAAGAAACAAATGTGATCATATACTTATACAGAAAATAAACTAGAAATATTTTCAAGAAAAACCAGAAATATTCAAAAAGGCAAAAAGATCGGAGATTCAGTAAAAGTGCGCTTTACATGATGACTTTCAATGATACATGAAAAGACTTTGAACAAGTAAAAAAAAAAGAAATAATTTCTAGCCGATCCAAATGTAAGTTTTGTAAATGAATGATTTATCATAACAACAAAAAATCTACACGAATACGTTAGGATCTGAAAGTCAGGAAGTTAGTGTTGATATACTGACGATTTAATCTGATCAATCTCCATTGACAAAAGGACAAACTGAATAGATGTTTGGAAGTTGGCTGTTTACAAGTTGATTATATTTGAGATAGTTTATAACGATGGAATACAAGATAATAGTTCCGTCAGCTGGACATACTATGCCAACAAGTAATCTGTTATTTAACAAAATGAATACTGGGCTGTAATTTCAATGTGAATAAAAACAGTGAGATACAGATTTATTTGATAAGTTTAAACAATGATGAAATGGGCACCTCGTGTTTCATTATTAGTTATTATATAAAAGAGAATATATATTTGTAAAAATAAATAACTACACACATAAATAAGGTGGTTAGTAGTAGTCAGTAAGAAACGTTACTTAATCTAGACTTCTTGCGCTTGAGGATTAATTATTAACGCGTATCTGTAATCCTGAAGGAACTGGTGCTACCTATGTGGTTCGAATTTGCATCAATTACCTTCGAATGGACTACTTACAATCACCTAATAATTCAACATAGTGTAGCCAATATCGAGTCACTTGGATTAGTGACCGAATTATCGATTGATCGGTCAAATTTGAACAGTATGAAAGATTAAACAAACATGACAATGGTCACTACTCAGTGGTCAAATATTTATAGATTCACATATATTATTGACAGTGCAGTTGGTTTTACTTTCATCATATGTGATAACATTTTGTCGATAATCGATCAATCTTTATATTCATTTATCACACTACGATTGGATAGAGTCATATCACCAGCAGTTCATCAGTTAATTATTGTGGTTAGAACTATACCAATCGATATGTTCATGAAGATTTAGACTTTGTTAAACTTTATATCAATCTATCAGGTCTATTCAACAACATTTGTTTTTAAGCATCATTTATTTGTAATGTTTAATACCTTTTATCCGTTGATATTAACATCAATCTTTTTGCTATATGCGCATTGTGAGCTGACTGTCTCAATATGCCCATGAAATCAAAATAATTCCAGTAAAAATGGACATCAAACCAAATCATTCATGAGTATGCATAGTAATATCAAACAATCCCACAAAAAGAGGTTTATATGTGATAAGCAATTTATTGACCAGATCAATAAATGCTGGTTTTATTTATCTAACTAAAATTGAAGTGATTCAAGCATATTAAAGATCAATTGTCATAAAACGGAAGTGTACAAGAACAAGAGGGTGAGTGACGATAGAGAATGACATTTTTGGTTTCGTTCAGAACTGGTAGAAAAATTGTGATTAAGGAAATTCAGTGTGACAAATGAAATCAAGTTGTGGGATAAAACGTTTGGATACTCGGGATCAAAGGAAAGACAAAGTGAATGCATCTGTGTTATTGAGACTGATTCTGAGCCATATCATCTAACGCCTTCAAAAGATGGTATAAGTAATCGATCAAACTCCGATCAGATATTCTGCACCCATTAACATGGTTTAAACTAACAGTCAATAGCTTCCCAAAGTGCAGACATGTCTTGGTTCGGCTGCACAACTCCTGGGCTAGTTAACATTGCGGGTCGAGGTGAGGGGTGGTTGAGTATACAAAATAAATACCCTAACTATTTCAGCCGATAAAGATCCCAAATATCATAATCGATATACTAGTTCTGTCAATTCACCCGAATCTAACTTCAACGTTACTCACTTAGTGGTCCCAACATACATGAACAGTACTTCGACACTTGTGTTAATAACTTAGTACAGTATTATTTTTATACATTCGGTTTTGTCCAACAACATCTAGTTAGTCTAGTGCGACCGCGGTGATACAACAAAATAAGCACTTTCAACCGATTGCCAAACGATAAATGTTCAGTTAGAGAAGACTACAAATTACAAACTGTGTACATTGAAATTCAGAGATGAGTTTATGGGAAAAGTCATCCAAGCATGATTTAGTCGACACTTTTTACATCTGCTTTCATAAACCATGTAAAGGATGCAAATAAATATGATTCAAGACTACCTTTTTCATTACTCAATCTTACTGTCTCGTCGGCAGAAAAAAATACTCCCATTCTTGCTTATACACAACTACTTGGTAAGTGATTACACGTTACCTATCCCTTACATTCACGTTGCTATCGTAAACTACATTTCTCACATTTACACAAAATGTTCGGAAAGCAAATATTCAGACATTTATATGTGCAGTGTTTTCAGTATAATGGCTTTATTGAGGTAGAAATCTTCATAGACATGGTTTGAGAATATTTTAATAGTTATACACAAGTTACCCATCTATCCATATCATGGACAGAACTACGTAGTCTAGGAAATGCCCCATCATGAAAACATTTTAATGTTTTTGAGAAAGCAATAATTATGGAGCCAGTTTAATTCACACTGCTGGAAATAAACTTAAGCATCCACAAAGCAGCAACATCTGTGGCTACTACAGGACAGAATTTGAAAAGCGCCAAACACGGTATAAAATGCAATGTAATACGGAAATTTAGATAGCCGTATCTCAAGGCACTTGTAACACTATACATCATATTTGTTCACCAAAAAGTGGAGTGCTGTATATAAGGGACCAACTTTTGTCTTTATAAAGATTTTAGACTAACAACAAAGATTTAGAAAGTTGCAACTAAAGTGACTCCATTTAACCATAAAATTATCGTGAACTTTTAGTCCAAATGAGCTAATCATACTTCTTATTATACAGAAAGATAAAATCTGATATCATTGTATCAGTAAGATTATATGATGACTGTTTAAACGTGAGATGTGTTCTTTTTTATTTTCAAAGCGCCAAATCTATTCCCACACATAAATTACAAGTCCTCAACTTTAAAACCCGTTTTATTTGTCAACTTTGATACTAAGTAGCTTACATCAAGATTCAAGCACAGATAAATCAATTAGTTTGCACTAGATCGTTCAAAAGATAATGGACATAAGTCAAGAACTTAGTACGGCTCCAACTCAACACGTAGTAACAGTTCCTACCATAGTTCATTATATCAATATCCATAAATGGTTAACTTTTAAAGTCCACTAATCAGATACAATTTTAATCTTAAATCCAATTTTTTCTAAGTTTAACAGGAATTGATGCTCAAAAGTCTACTAAACATAATCTCTGATTACGAAATCTGCATATTCAATATCAATGAAGTGATTATCACTATTAGTACAAAAAGATATATATATATATATGTTTAGGGAAATTATATCATGAATGATGTTGTAACCTTGGAACTAGGCGCGACATATATTGAAAATCAAGCACGTTTAACTAATCATTTAGGTATCATCAGATGGAACCAAACGACTAAAATTCACAATATGTTCTAGTCTTGAACTATTGATTGACTTAAAGTTCATCTTTCGAAAGTCATGTAAATCAGATAATGATTTAACCGTAACCTAATTTTCCTTCGATAAATTCAAAATGTTAAATACTTTTGTATAGAGTTTCTATCTTGCTTTTTTTTTGCAAATCAACGATCAATATGTTTAAAGTGAGAAGAGTGTAAGAATATCAACTAGATTTGTTATTTCACTGCTTATCATCATATTGATTTGTCAACTAACATATCTTTTCTTTTATTTAACCTTTAAAATAATAAATTCAGAATGAAGCATAAGGTCCACATGATAATATTTAATATTATTCTGTGACATTCAATTGATAAGCGAAACAATAAACTTTGATAAGAGTTTAAAACTTGATGTCATTTTCTTCACGGATTAAAACAAACATATTGAGTGTAAACTTTGCATAGATTGTGAAGAGAAGAATAAACACATTAATGATGCTATTCATTGGTAAAAATGTTTTTAAAAGCATTTGCAAACAATAAAAACTCATTCATTAAAAAGAATAATATGAAATAACGACTCGTTAATTACCATGGCTATAAGGATAAAATGTATTTATGATAACCCAATGTGCTAACATAACACTATTAGGTAAAGATGGTGATAATTAAAATAACCCATAGTGTCGCTGAATAAGAGAAAGAGAATTCAGCCAAGAAAATTTTCTTTTCAACGAAATCTGTACATTCGTATATATAGTTATATGGAAAATAGATGTCTATAGGAGGATACAAAAGATTGCATCATACAAATGGAATCAGACTAAATAACAAATGAGGGCACGTTCTAATCAAGGGGTAAGGAAGAAAATCGTTTATGGGTCAGATAATAGTCCAATTGACAAATATGAAGAAAAGTGACAAACACAAAGGTCATAATAATAGACTAAATAATAATCAAGAAAACTTGTATAAGGCAATGATAATCACTAATTAGAGTTTAAAATTACAAAACAATAATTAAAAAAATTGAAAAAATCAATAATAATCAAATAAAAGTGCAGAAAAACATGCAAGATAAATCAACCAGAAACATATCCATTAAGGGAATTAGGGCCAAGGAAGTATGAGAGGTTGGACAAATCGTTTCTTCACACAAAGTTCAGGCTTTAGTTTGTGGATTGCCAATGCCTCAGTAGTGCATAGAATATTGATTCGAAACCCCTTCGATCCAATCCCTTTGACTCTACAGATCACTTTAAAAAAAGAATACTTGGGAGCCGTGTGTCCAAAATTGATTAAATGCTCCTGTACAGAACTAGTAATTGTTGTACATTCTCCTTTTACAAGCCAAGCCGGATAGTGTTCTGTAGTGCGTTTGGAAAGTGATCTCTTTGTACGGCCTATGTATCGTGCCCCAAATGATAAAGTAAATTTATAGATACACATTGATGTAGCCCAAAGCGGAAGTTTATCTTCAACATATCCAGGAATGGTAGGCCGGCTTGAGAAAACAGTGCTGAGCTTGGATGTGTAGAAAGTTTTATTCAATTATTTTGAAATCCGTTTGTTTAAGATTTTAGCAGCCGTGTCTCCTTTTAATTCCAGATTCATAAACAGGGTTTTCTTCTGTACTGTCGATAGTTTTTCATGGTGAAGTCTTGGTGTTAAGTTGCTATAGACGAATCTAGGTGGATAACCGTTTCTGAAGAGAGTTTGTCGAAGATGAGATAGTTCCCCAACTGTTGCGTTGGTGGAACAGATTCGCTTGATCGTAAAGGATAAAGAGTGAATTAAATTCCTCTTTCTATTCAGTGGGACCCAACTATGGAAATTAGTGTGCTGCTGAATTCTCTTTTTCTTAAAGATGGTGAGTAGATTGAGAATGGAACGTTCATATCCATTGACTGAGATAGCTGTATTATGTATTACATATGCTCAACTACAAAGTATGGAAACACGTAATGTTTGTTGGTGTGTAGGAGTAGGTTGAAAGAAAGATACTAATGACCAAACCAAAATGTCGTATTACTCCATGAAGTTACTGACAGTCGGACTGAGTAATGTTAGTATATACAGATTACCAGGTAGAAGTCCGCACGATTACTGTAACAAAAGGCTGGCGGATATTGGATGACATGGCTCAGAATCGATCTCATTGGTAACTGGTAGGTTTCTACGTCCTACCGTCTGAGTTCGATTTCGTGTCTCAGTGAGCTGTTTATTGATTAATTGAAATAACAAAACAACTGTCCATAGAGATACCTTATTATATCGTCAGTTGATAATGAAAACAAATTAGTAATCATATACACGTCAGTAAAACCAAATGCTTGTCGGAAGTGATAAGAACTGATTACCTAGATCAAAATAGTTTTTTTGGATATATAATGCAATGAACGAATTAAATTTGTAAAAAATCAATTAGCTGGTAATCAAGACGTGAGAGTAGTGCATGAACTCATTAGTCTGAGTTACACTGGTAGGTTAATACTATCTCGTCAAAATACATACAAGTTTCAATTACAGGTTAGATACATTGAGTGACGTGACTCAGAATAGGTCGTAATTGAGCATATATTTCCATTATTTGTCTACCACTAGATCCTGTGTTTTAATATTTCATGATTGTTATTCTGCAAACTAACTCTTTCTTCTTAAATTATACTTTTCATGACTAATAGTTTTTAATATAACTGATACTTTCACTACTACTACTTCGATATTCAACTTGATAAATTCACCTATTAACGCAGTATGAGAACTTGAGCTGATACACATTTATGTTAAGTTCTAAGGTGTTTATAACTTATTGACTGCATGAATGACACAGCTTGAACATCATGTACAAAGAATCATAAATTCCAGTTGACTCAGTGAAATAATTTTAAGGTTTTGTATCAAGATCTCAAGTAGTAAAAACATTGAGTTCTTATTGACTCTATTCGTTTAACGGCATAGTTATCTCTTTCTCCCTATCTCTAATTAAATCAGTATAATATACAATCCAAAAATCGAAAGACTAGACAGGTGATATGAATTAGAACTCAATAACCAATTTAGATATATAAATGTATTACCATCATCATTATACATCCGATTCACAGTTAATTATTCCAAGCCAACAACATACTATCTTGAAACTAACAAAAATACACTCATAAAATATATAAAACGTTTTAGTAATATAAAAATCAACTTACATCTTCATGAGTTGAAAATCCTCGACATACTAATGATGTATGATAACCTGATAAACCGAATACTGTCCACATTGCAGAGAAAGTGATCAATATATCAATTATTGTGTATGATGAAAATCGACAATAGTAAATCAGAAAGAAAAAACCCAATCGATTGATATATTCGATCCATTAGTAATTATAATGATGATGACGATGATAATAAAGATAAGATGATTTAATTAAGGTATTTTATAGCTAATCAATCAATATTTATAAAAGAAACTGGGAAAAGATTTAGTGAATGTTGATAAATAAATCTGTGAAAAATATTCATTATTAATTCGAAGTCAATTTTTATCAGTAAATCAACTGGGATTTAAAGAGAATTAATAAGAGACGAAAAACTATTCTGTTTTACTGATTGAAATCATGAGTCAATTGAAGCTAGACCACCATGGAAAACCTGGAAGCACTGGACAGCCGTTCCGTCCTAGTATGGGACTCCTCAGCAGTGTGCATCCACGATCCCGCACCTCGCGAGACTCGAAACCAGGACCTATCAGTCTCGCGCCAGACGCTTAACCAACTAGACCACTAAGCCGGCATCCAACGGCGTTAATGTTTAACTTCAACCAATCCACGAAGTTGCGCTACCGTACACCATTGTCTTCAGCTCACTGGTGGTCTAGGTTCCACTGACTCATGATTTCAAACAGTGAAATTTTTAAAATCTCCACAAAACCCTTTCTGATATTCTGCTTTAATCTGATTTAGAGAAGTTTAAAATAAATTTAAGATGTGTTTCAATGAGGCTGATTACTGGTTTAAATTTATAATTGATAAGGTAATCGTTGCTTGAAGCAAATATAAGGACTTACTGTTTGTCGTACTTTGAATACCGAAACATTTTTTTAAAGAAAACTGACAACTACATTTCGGATTAACTGAGTTTTTTGTATGTTCTTATTTCCCAAGTAGTTTTCATCAATTTCTTAATCTTGTTTAAGGCAACGACTGGGTTACACTCAAACCGTAAAGGGATAACTTTTATTGGATTTTCTGGAAAAAATCTAGACCAGAAGTGGTGTTGAAGACCTGATAGCATGATTGTAGAGATCTACGAACAGCTATTTGAGGCCGGTCATACAAACCATTTCTGTGAGTAGCTCGTAACGTATCAAATCTACACCTTAAATGACTTATTGGTGATGACAGAAATCCATGGGACAGTTATTAGGGTCATTCTTTTCTAATCCTTACGTTCTGCAATGAGAAGACAGCATTGTAGCTGACGTTAGATGTTGGAGGGAGACAACATACACTCACGCCCATACACAGTCGGGAGCACGACCTTTCCCACACACCTTAAATTAAAACTTTCAGTCATACTGTTCTCCAACCAAATTGTCTTGCATGGTAGGACCTAACGAAACAAATGTTGCAACTAATACAGCTCGATTGGGTCATCTTAATATGTGAGTACGATCACCATCTCAAGATCGTGCATTAATTTACTGTTTATTCTAATATGAATTCTATATATTTTGGCGGATAAACTGGAACATGGCATCGATTTATGAAGTCACTGAAAATTGAACTCAGCAATGATAGCAGGTACAAACTACTTGCTTAGGGTCCGTATGATTATCGTAACCAATGGTTAGAGACTTTGAATGACGTAGCTCCAAACTGTTTGCATTGGCTCAGGTGCATTCACTCGTTATCTTCCCCGAATTCTGACATTCTAAAATTCTCACAACTTTCTTCTCGTTTTTGTTTCACTAATTTATATTTTCTTTTCGAGTTGTATCTTCGATGCCTAGTCTTTCTTATTGCCACTGATACTGCCTCTACTATTCTGAGATTTGGACCGACAATATGACCTCTGTGCTAATGGGGTATGGAAACTTGAACCGGTGTACATAACCAACAGGTTCTACAGTCTGACTCTTTGACTTATATTATGGCTATTTCAAAGGGTATATAGTTGAGACAATTTATTGACATTCTATATTATAATGTATGCTCCATTTATTGAGGACAGATTTACGTACTTTGACCTATATCGTTTACGTGTGTGTGTGTGAAGGGTATTGTTCCAGGTTCACTGCCTAAAGAAAAAAAGCTCGGACTAGGTTTGAACCTGTAACTTATCAGTTGAAATCTGAGTGCTTAATCCAATAATTTATCATTTTAATTTCTTCAAATCGACTAATTATTGATTTTAATGAGTTGTTTGTAAACATATTATTCATTCAGAAATGATAACCGTTTAGCACTTATATGTAAATCATTCCAATAAAATAAACTGTCGCAAGACCCAACAGCAGGCTATGAATTTAGAAACCTGTAATAACATGGTGTTTAGAGAAAGATAATTATATCGAAAAACCACTTAAATATCACGTAACTTGATCGAACTTTGTTATGCCCGATTGACGAAATCTGAGTTGGTGTTCGACGGATGTTAATGTCTTGAATTTGATTTTATTTAAAAGTCAAGCTTATAAACTACTAATGAAAAGTTTAATATTATGATAAAATGGCTATTTAAAGATGTCAGCGTCTGTAACTATTGCTCAAATTATGAGGGTATGCAATGGAAACTCCTCCAATTACTAATGATCTGAACTTATTGGCTTAATAGATAAGGCATTGACTTTTGATGTGTTTAGGTAAAGGATTCGCGAATCACAATGTAAGTATCAACACGAAAATGGAGTTACACTAGACTAACAAGTTCGAAACAAGATGAAATATATTCCAAGAATATAAACTGATTTTAAATAACACTTTTTCTAAAACAAATGCTTTGAAAAATGTTTACAATATAACCAGCTAGTCAATCATACACAAACAAACAAAACACAAAGAAAATAATTATAATAACATCAACACTTTATTATCAAAAATCACATGAAAAGGATATGAGCGGGAGAAATCTTGATAGCCATTATAATATCTTCATACTTTTCGTATACTATTCATCCGTATATTGACGACAATCATCATTAACCACCATCATCATCGCCAACAATCATCATCATTGTTAGATTTACGTAAATAATTCAGTAGATAAAATGAAGAAATTTAGTTTGGGAAAGAAAATAACAATCATAATAGTAGACTAAGTAATATACAAATAAAAACCAATAATTGACAGTTTAACGATAATAATAATAATGTGAACATTTAATGAAAAATTCAATTGATTAGCACCAATAATTAGATCATTAAGTTTATCAACGTATTAGCGTAACTCGTAGTCTACAATTGTTTATGCTCGAAATGAAATGATTTTTTTCTCTTCAATGTTTATAATATTACGTCACTAACAACTCGATTTAACGATTAGGTGTTAACTACTGACCCAGTCAGTTTATTGCGTATCATATATTAAGCATTAGTTTAATAGCTTAAATTTGTTCACAACGCATGAAATACTTCTACGGATCAATAACTAAGTAGTGTTTATTGCTTTGTTTGTCTAGACCCTTAGTACTGATTGAATTCTATCGAATAATTTGTAATCTCTCTAAATGACTTGGCACTGTTTTAATGTTAGGTAGTTGGAGGTAATGGACAAGAAATCCTGAACCTAGTATTTCTTGCTGTTTTACATTTGTTAGTAAAGTGTACTTGTAATTTTGCGAGAATTGGTATCTATTGTAGGACTCAAACAGGTGATATTTAACTTAACAGTTTGAGATATTACCGGTTAGTCAATTTATGATCATTGACAAAAAAAATAGGCGGTAGTTCTGTGAGTTCAGTTATCCGCTTTGAAATGAAGTGAACTATGAATCTATTGACATACTTGAATGTAGTTAATAATCGAAAATGGGAAACTTGCAATGAACATACAATTAAAAACAATGATTGAATAACGTCTTATTCAGAATCAATCCCAATACCGGAGAGGGCAGATACATGAACATTCTAACTTAAATTTAAATCTTTATACATACATACTATTTTTTCTGAAATATTGTAACACTTATCCATCTATACTGGTGGTAATAACGGTAAAACTATAACTCACGGACAACATTTGAAGATACTTAAGTGACATTGAGAATGTCGACCTACTCACTGAGGTTAAACTAGGCTTATAAATTATTGTGAGAAATCAGGATTAATATTTACAGTTGGACATTAGGGTCAAGAAGTAATGTTAGAGTTTTAATCACGAACTGACATCAGTTATAATGTTAAAATGCTATTTAGCCGTATTGATGCATGAATTTCACGCCAGAATCAAATACTTGCTATCTTAAACCAGATTGATTCGTCTATGAATTATATTCCTGCCATGATAAATTAAATTCAGGTTAACGGACAATTTTGTGACATTTTTATACATTTAGAAATAATAATTCATTACAACCTAAGCCATCAACTGCAAACAATTAATGGTTATGTTGGAACTCAATAAATCAGTGGATAACAAGTTGATGTTTGAAACAATAGATATCGAGTTTGTATCTCAATATGTACATCAACACTGGGGTTATTATCAGAATTGGAATTTGTGGAGAACTGAGTAATTTTCATGGTTGAATTCATGAGTCCATTTAAGCTAGACCACCACTCAAAACCTGGAAGCACTGTTTAACGGCCGTTTCATTCTAGTATGAGACTTGTCAGCATTGCGCATCCACAATCCCACACATGGGACTCGAACCCAGGTCCTTCGGTTTCACATGTAAACGGTTAAACTCTAGACCACCAAGCCGGCATCCAACGGTGTTAATATCTAACTTCGATCGATCCATGGTCTTGGGCAACTTTTCATCTATTATCTGGGTTGGATAACTGTCTCACGATCAACACGGACTGGACTCTACTAGCCACTACCAAGGAGTCCTATGTTAGGATGAAACGGCCATTCAGTGTTTCCAGGTTTTTATTACTGATCTAACATTGATCGGTTCATGATCCTAATTAAAACCCAAAAAGCGTGATAGTTCAATGAAATTCGAAAAGAAAACTTGATAGAAATGATGATGATGACGACGACAATAATAATAATAATAATAACGATAAATAAATAAAGTGATAATCTAGAAAACGGACAATTTTCTATCCTATGGACTAAGGATAATACACTTTTATTATTCAAAATAGGATGATACAAAAGAAAAGAAGAAAAATATTGTATGTATCTGTACAATTCTATTACTATTATCGTTACTGCAAAACTTCTTTTTTTTTATTATCATAAACACATGATAAAGTTTTATAATGAAATTTATTGAATAAAATCTACACGTATATGGATGATCATTTGAAAATTTCATGACTTAGCATTTTACCATACAAAACAAAATAAATTGAAGGGTAGAAAAGTAAATTATTAACTATTTTCTAAATTACATACAACATGGAAACTGTTCATGTAAATAATTGATTTGAAAGGAATAATGATAATTCTATGAGTTAAGATATAGACTATGAATATGGAATAAGAAAAATAGACTTCAGTGAAGAGAATTTTCTTTTCGATGAAATTATTTACTTAAACTTGATATGTGTATCTTAAAACAGTATTTTAAAGAACTACTTCTACGATGTAGGCTCAACGTGCAATTTAGATTTAATAATGATTTCTGATTTCTCTTGGCTGATTGTTTCATGGCCAATCTGGAAAATTCTCTACTTCGTCCGATAATTGACAGATTTCATTATTATAAGAGATATATGAATGATACTTTCATTATTTGTGAAGAAGACATGGACCTAAATGAAATTTTGAATAGTTTCAAAAATTGTCACCCCTCAATTCAATTTACCTTAAAAGCAGAGGCAAACAATGAATTTCATTTTCTTGATGTTCGATTGAAAAAATTCCAAACAGTTTCTTACAGATATCTATATATAGAAAACCTAATCGGAATGGACAATACACGAATTTCCATAGTTGGGTCGCATTGAGTAGAAAAAGGAATTTAATTCACTCTTCATCCCTACGATCAAGCGAGTCTGCTCTACTGACACAATAGATGAGGAACTATATCAACTTCGACAAACTCTCATCACAAATGTTTATCCACCTAGATTCGTCGATAGCAACTTAAAACCTAGAATTCATCATGAGAAATTATCGACAGTACGGAAGAAAAAGCCTATTCATGAAGATGGAATTTAAAGGAGATACGGCTGCTGAAATCTTAAATAAACGGCATTCAAAATAATTGAATAAAACTTTCTACACATCCAAGCTCAGCACTGTTTTCTCAAGCCGGCCTACCATTCCTGGATATGTTGAAGATAAACTTCCGCTTTGGGCTACATCAATGTGTATCTATAAATTTACTTTATCATTTGGGGCACGATACATAGACCGTACAAAGAGATCACTTTCCAAACGCACTACAGAACACTATCCGGCTTGGCTTTTAAAAGAAGAATGTAAGACAATCAACAGTTCTACACACCAGCATTCAATTAATTGTGGACAAATCGCTCCGAAAGATTATTCTTTTAATCTACTGAGTCAAAGGACCTGGATCTAAGGGGTGTCGAATCAATATTCTATACACTGCTGAGGCATTGGCAATCAACGAACTCAAACCTGAACTTTGCGTGCAGAAACGATTCGTTCAACCTCTTATCCCTCCGTGGCCCTAATTCCCTTAATGGATATCATTCTGGTTGGTTTTTCTTGCATGTTTTTTCTGCACTTTTCTTTGATTATTATACTCTTCATTGTCTATGACGTTCATTTTAAGAAGCTTTAATAGATTCGACTTCACTCTGGATTCCAATTTTCTAACATTAATATTAGATGAAGCGTCCTGCAAGAATTTACTCTGATCACCCAGTATAAATAACATTTTTTTTCTTTATAGTCACATTTATTGATAACGACCACCCGTGAACCTTTGTCAGGTCTGAGGATCACAATATCTGACCTACTCTAGAGGTTTTTTAACGCGGCAAATGTTTAGAAGTTAAAATACTCCTTTGTCTGATTTGAGAACTGTGAAAGTGGTAGGCAACGTCAACCAATTTTTCCTATCTAGGGTGGTTGGGACAAGAGGGTTCAACTGATCATAGAGATTTTCAAATTGAGCATCTATCGACAGATCAGAAATCTTGGTATATACAACGGAGAAATTAAATCCGAGTGATAGGGCTTCCTTCTCAAATACAGAAAGCCTAACAGTTGATAAATTTGATACATATTTATCAGGGTTAAATTGAAATGAATTTCCATCATTATCATCCATAAGAGATTTACTCAGCTTTTGTTTGGTAGTATAATTTGTTTTAGCAACCACTGTACTGCAAAAGTTCATGAATTTAATATGACATATAAGAGAGATATTCGATAATACGCATGATGCCTGAGTATGAAGTTCAATTAGTTTATTTATCATATCATTGCATTTTTCTTTATGAGATTTCGCAAGCCGCAAAAGATTAGAAACATTTGGATGCAACTTATTGGGTCGTAAGGATTTATAAAACTGTCTTAGAAATGTGTGTGTAATAATGCAGGTCTTGTAAAACTCCAGTTTTACCTTTTCAGATGCAATTTTGCACTTCAGATTAGCAAGTTCATCTAACCGTTTGATGCAAGACGAAGGGAGTCTTCTTTTCAAGAATTAAAAGCAATTAGTCCCTTTTATAAATTTCGATAGAACAATGAGAAGACGGAGTTTATCTGAAAAATGTGATGTATTTGAGCTATACATTTCGAACAATCTGGTCACACATACATGTCAAGGCATTTTTATATGAAAATTAATAAAGGTCAATTAAATGAAAGTTCAAGTAAAATAACAAAGGTGAGAGAAAGAATAAGAAATTGTCGCGTTATCCTAGGCCATAGAATGACTTAAGGATTACCAAGGTAACTCTATATAGAACATACATGGACGATATTCGAATTATGTGATAAGGATTTTGATGCTAACCGATTATTGGATAAACTCAATGGTGTTCAAGATGATATTGTGATGACATTTGAATCAG